ATCCCTCCTCCTCCTCTTCAGCTGGACCCCAGGAGCTCAGTCCAGTACTTGGCTGTGGATCTCTGCATCTGTTTCCATCTGTTACTGGATGAAGGTTTATGATGACAAGTAGGGTAGTCTTTGATCTGATTACAGAAGAAGGCCAGTTCAGTCACCCTCTCCACTATTGCTAGGAGTCTTAGCTGGGGTCATCCTTGTGGATACCTGGGAATTTCCCTAGCACCAGGTTTCTCCCCAACACCATGATGTCTCCCACTATCAAGATGTCTCTTTCTGTGCCCTCCCTCTCTGTTCCTCCTCCAACTTGACCACCCTGTTCCCTCATGTTCTCCCCCCCCCCAACAATCCCAGTATAAGCAGGAGATCTTATCTGTTTTCTCTTCCTAGGGGGATCATGTCATTTGCAGCCCTGCTGACAAAAGCTGAGTGACATAAGCATGAAAAGTATCCAGCAAAGAGAGATTGAGTGAAGAGTGTGTGGGGAGCACACGAAAGGATTATTGTCCTTCACCAAGAAGAATGAAGTCATCTCTTCTGCAGAAAGATGCATGCACCTGGAGAGAACCACACCAAGTGGATGACCAAGTCTCCGGATGACAGATATCCAGTGTCTCTCATTGGTGGAGCCTAGATTTGGCAGATCCACGAGACTGTTTTGTTCCTATTACATGAGAGTAGCTGGTAAAATGTGTGGAGAAAAGTTGTCTAATGATGTCAAGGAGGGGTTTGCAGTATTGGGGAGTGAGGTAACCCAGACCCAGAAAGACAAACATGGTATGTACTCACTCATGAGTGATATTAGGTGTAAAGGATAACCAGGCTACCGTTCACAGTCCCAGACAGGCTTGGTAACAAGGAGCTGGGCCAAAGAGGGACACATGGATTTCCCTGGGAAGGGGAAACAGAAGAGATCTTCTGGGTAAACTGTGGGCCGGGAGAGGGAACATGAGGGATTGGGTTGGATGGGTTGGGGCCTGGACAGAGGAGAGAGCAATGAAAGAGATGTCTTGATGGGTGGGCATTTAGGGGATAGGGAGAAATCCGGTACCAGGGAAACTGCCAAGAGTTCACAGGATAATCCCAGCTAAGACTCCAAGCGGTAGGAAGAGGGTGCCTGGACTGGCCTTTTCCTGTAATCAGATTGGTGAGGACCTTAATTGTCATCAGAGTCTCATCCAGTAACAGATGGAAGCAGATGTCTACAGACAAGCACTGGGCTGAGCTCTCGGAGTTCCCAGAGATTTTTCAGAGGCACAAGACTACTGTTTGTCTGGCCATCAATAAAAAGGGCTTAAAACTTTTAGTTGGCTTAATTAGCATGCTTGTCAATCACTACTTCGTGGAGTTATTCAGTCCTTAAACAAATATTAACCTGTACAAAAATGTTCATCATTTGTATAAAATGCCAATCTATTTAATGTAGAGTCAATCCTCCAAAAACAAAGACCCAAACAAAAAATTCCCAACCTTTATACAAAAGCCTGACCTGTTCCATTAAACAATATGAGTGTTTGGATGAAGAGTTGATCATTTACAAATGCCCCAACCCCTGTATTAAAGAGGATCCTTCTCATAAAATCAATCGTTTGCTACCCCACTGCAGAGTCATCAACATGGCTGCCCACAGAGGACCTGAACAAGGAGAACATGGATGGACATGC